GAGTTCACAGAGTGGTGGAAAACTGTTTCATTCTATCACAGATTACAATTATTAATTATTTCATAAGACAAGTTGGAGCACACAAGTGGACCACACAACAAGTGAATCATATAAACCAAACACAAGCCAGAATGGTCTACAAGAAGTGACGCATATTAATTAACCAAACACCAGCCAGAGTAGTCCACACAAGTGAATGTCTGAGTTTCAGTTATTTTCGTTCACCGATTTGTGGCACACGCATCTTTGTAAATTAATTCAAAGGCTGAAGTGTGAATAGCTAGCTAATGTGTTGAAATCTTCTTATATACATTTTCTGTGATGAAACAAGACGAGTGAGGGTGAACAGATAAGGGAATACTGTACAGGAAACCTCACTTTACAGTGAGGTTTCACTCACTTTCGTCTGTGTTGTCAAAGTTCAGTGACCCATGACTTTGAACGTTTCACATTAATAAATCATTTCTAAAACTGGTGTTTTAATGACTCTTTATTATCCTAATTAAACTAAACTAAATAAAACCAAAAATATACTGTAATGAGATAGATATCTGATATTTGAGAAATTATTCACGTTATTGACGGCACAACTCCAGCACGAGTGGACGGGTCTAATCCTTGTCCACACAACACCATGCTTGTTGTATTCGATTTCGTCGCCACAGTTCAGTGATCTACGGCTTCGAAATAATATAATTAATAAATCAGCTCCAAAGTAAGTATTTTTTATACCTCTTATTACCATAATAATGTTGCTAAACCAAATATGTAACCCAAAAATATATAATTTAATGTAATACGAATATTTGTGAAAAATTTATGTTACTGGAAATCGAACACAACACCAGGCGGTGTTTTGTTCGATTTCGTCGACACAGTTCAGTGACCTACGGCTTCGAAATAATAAAATGAACAAATCATTTCCAAAATAAGTATTTTTTATAGCACTTATTATCGTAATAATGTTGCTAAACTAAATATATAACCCAAAAATATATAATTTGATGTAAATCGAATATTTAAGAGAAATTTATGTTACTGGATCTGGCTTAAACACCAGCCTACTGAAGGGTGTACGTATAGACTTAGTCTGCATTCATACAGTATGCACCCAGTGCCTTTAGCTTTGTCTGCGATTGACGTACAGTATTTATCCGCCGGTGGAAGAATAATTGTGGAATTGACCATTTTTTTTACTACAGCTCTTTGGTTATAAAACAAAATGTCTCAGGGGCTTACTAATAGTGCCTTATTAACCCTTGCACTGCTCACCTATTTTCGCCAAAAACGTCTTGGTGCAATTGACAAGGACATATTTTTGTTATTTTTACAAATGTTCAGGTAAATTTAATGTCAAAATGTTTCCAAAGTCAACTATTTCCATTTCAAAACACAAATAGTAATGAAAACATTAAACAACATTAAAATATAGCCAAATTAAAAACCAAAAAGCACAACTCTCTGAGCGCCTAAAGGCGCTTTGCGCAGTGCAGGGGTTAATGCCAAAAATGAAGCAATATTTTGCAAGAACTAGTAGCAGAAAATCAACCAGCACGAGAACAGCCGTACCCAACACGAGAACAGCCGTACCCAGCACGAGAACAGCCGTACCCAGCACGAGAACAGCCATACCCAGCAAGAGAACAGCCGTACCAACCACAAGAACAGCCGTACCCAGCAAGAGAACAGCCGTACCAAGCACGAGAACAGCCATACCCAGCACGAGAACAGCCATACCCAGCACGAGAACAGCCATACACAGCAAGAGAACAGCTGTACCATGCATGAGAACAGCCGTACACAGCACCAGAACAGCTATACCAAGCAAGAGAACAGCCGTACCAAGCACAAGAACAGCCGAACCCAGCACGAGAACAGCCGTATCCCAGCACGAGAACAGCCGTACCCAGCATGAGCACAGCTGTACCCAGCATTGGTACAACAGCCGTACCTAGCACGAGCACAGTTGTACTCAGCACTGGTACAACAGCAGCCAGCACCAACTCAGAAGCAGCTGAACCCACAGGAGCAGCGAGCACCAGCAAAGCTGATGCAAATATCTAAAAACATTGTGTGCAGCGTGAACAGTTAGAACAAGTGTTAAATTTATGTGTACACAGTGTTAAAATTAAAGTTGCAGTAATTTTAGTCTACAATAGTTTTCATAACCAGTATTGTAGTACTCAATATACAGCAGAACTACTTTTAATCAACACAGTGCTAACGGCATAATGCACTGCAGTACGTATTTACTGAAGAGCATTCACAACTTCACGAAACTTCAAGCTGGACATAACTTCAACAATAAAGTAAATTTATTAATTACAGTATTTTTTAGTAGAGAAGTAATATATAAGTACAGTATGTAATATGATAATGCATTTTTATTGTGTACAAGAAAAAAAAAAGACACCGACACAAACGCCTCCTGAAGGTCACCTCTTGCAACAAATCCAACGCTCCAACAAACTGGGGTTGGTCCCATATAGCACGCTGAATCGAGGTTGTACTGTGTATATATATATATATATATATATATATATATATATATATATATATATATATATATATATATATATATATATATATATATATATATATATATATATATATATATATATGTCGTACCTAGTAGCCAGAACGCACTTCTCAGCCTACTATGCAAGGCCCGATTTGCCTAATAAGCCAAGTTTTCATGAATTAATTGTTTTACAACTACCTAACCTAACCTAACCTAACTTTTTCGGCCACCTAACCTAACCTAACCTATTAAGATAGGTTAGGTAGGGTTGGTTAGGTTCGGTCATATATCTACGTTAATTTTAACTCCAATAAGAAAAAATTGACCTCATACATAATGAAATGGGTAGCTTTATCATTTCATAAGAAAAAAATTAGAGAAAATATATTAATTCAGGAAAACTTGGCTTATTAGGCAAATCGGGTCTTGCATAGTAGGCCGAGAAGTGCGTTCTGGCTACTAGGTACGACATATATATATATATATATATATATATATATATATATATATATATATATATATATATATATATATATATATATATATATATATATATATATATATATATATATTGTGTGTGTGTATAAATCCCATGTTTTCATTAATAAGCCTAGATATATGCAGCATTGTGCTGCTACCGCATTCTATATGAAGAATTACAAAGTGTAAATAAAAAAGAAGCTACAAGTTTATCTCATATCTGCACCTCACAGGCTTCACGAAAAAATGTACACATAATGAATAGAATGACAATGGAGAGTTGAAAACAATGTATAATTACAAAGGAAAATTCAAACAGGAAATTACTTTAGCACTTCCGTGTAAATCAACACATCAACCAAAGTATATTATGACGTGTTGATTATCATGAAAGTGCTTAAGTAATTTCCTGTTTGATTTTTCCTTCGTGGTTATACATTGTTCTATGTATATATTTTCAGATTATAATTCGTAATATGTAAATATCTCAGAGTGAAATAATGTACCTTTGTATTTTTTATTTTACAACACTTTTTTTTAATGAGAAAATTATATCTTCTTGTATATAAATGAGTAAATAAATTCGTTTGTTTAATTCTAATGCTTGTAGGCGAGAACAGTTGTGAACGCCAGCTAGCGCACAAGTACATGAGCGCCCAAAATACTTTTACACAAAAGACATGTACAGACAGGCGTGTGGCTTCTGACTTCTTTTTTATTGATTAATATTAAATATTAGGCGCTTACCTATAATAGTTATCATTTTATACAAGCATAGCTATCACATAATAAATATAAAAGGAGTTTATCCAAAAACTGACAAAAGTGTTGTGCTTTGTGCGTTATATCGTGTTTGTGGGCATTCAGGATGTGTTGTGTTTATGCTGGCGGGCGGCATCCTTACCAAGCCCGGATTATGTCTATTACATCACTAAACATCAGTTAATAACTATATGCCTGTTAAGTAGAACATTTTAAATGTTAGTAGCATTATATTGTCGTTTTAATATGGAACACGTACACATATGCGAAACGTCCAAAGCTGGTGTCCGAAGTGGTAAATATATTAGTGTGCGATGTTGTCAATGTACAGTGTGTCTTGACACAGAGTGTCAAATCAAGTCAAGTCTTGACACTGAGTGTCAAGTCACTTCATACTTCAGTAAGTCACTTCATACACAAGACAATTCGCCAACGGATCTTGAAACCTAATTAACTTAACTCAACTCATCGTAATCTAACTTGACACAAACCAACCTACCCTAAACCAACTGAGCCCAATACAATTTAACCTAAGCTAATGCATTCTAGCCTAACTATACATGCAATTTTAACAAAAAGAAAACAAGCTTTGTCAAACTGTCTTATGTACAAAATGACCACATCCTAAGAAGTGCCAATCTGGTGCCTTCTGCTTGTCAAGTGATGTCCGGTTGCTCCTCAATTGGTTAATCAACGTAGCACGCAGTCGATTGTTTGACCATCTCTCATCTGGGATACCTGATGTCTTTGCCTGCCTCTTCTGATGCCAAACTCACTCCTCTATGATGGCACTCTCTTCACCCATCATATCAAATATGACTGACTAGGCCAACCCCTCCCCCTCCCCCCCCCAAAGGAAAAAAATTGTTTTTTCCATCTTATTTCAAAACTATGCATCCTGCCTCTTCATAAATTTAACAAAACATTTCTTGGGCCATCTTACACATGTACAAGTTAGTACAGTATATCATTTAATATAATTGAACCAAAGACTTCTAGTTTGACTTTTTCAATGTGGATTTAGCTTTAAGATGAAAAATTGCACTGAATGAAAAAATACATGCCAGAATAATGTACTTATTAAAATGTGTTTAGTAAATACGAAAAGATTTGATAGACATAGCAGTTGCCTGGATTTGTATGATTTATCATTATTGTAGCATTTATGCTTTAGAAGTTTAATTAAAATTTACACAATTTCAGGTATCTAGAAATTCTTAAAAAATGAAACAATAAAAAAGTTTAAACACTTTTACTTGTAATAAACATATAAAATACATATTTATATTTACATATATTACAACAAATATATCAGTACTGCTATATATTAGATCATCTAAGTATTACATCAACATACAATTACAATTGTAAAAAATTGTAAATTACTGTATATATAAGAGCTGCATGAACACATACAAATGAACATTCACACGTAACATTACTGCTATACTTCAACTTGTGAAGTATCAGCTACCCGGTAATGATGCACAATGTATCCAGAGTTTTAATCGTGTTGAATGGAATAATGGACCATCAGTGATGACATACTGCAATGTGGTTTCTTTAGACATGTACATCAAGCTTCCTCAAGGAAATGAATCCAACAGTACAACTAAATTCTGGAAATTGACTCCTGACATCTATGATTACCAAAATGTTCCTGACTGCAACCATGTGATCACAGAAAATTATTTTTGGATTGATAATTTGTTATTGCCATATACTGTATGTACATTAGTTAACACAATATAATTCAAGACTAGGATTTCTTGCAACTACAAAATGCGCAACTTTATATTCTCTGTTATTACAGAAGCCTTTTTGCTAATCCTGTAATAAAGGAACAGTAAACCATATCATGAAAAAAGTGCAAGATACGACTAAAACAAATTACATATTAACCTAGAACAACTGGCTTGCAATTCACAAATATAAGTTCCCCCTACAGTACTAATAAAAACAGCACACATGTAAATCTGAAAACATAATTCAATAATTTCTAATATTAGTTCGGAGAGCAGTCAATCCTCCAAACGATTTGACAAAGATCACTTGTTTCTAGTTTCGTTGTTGGGCTTGCTGCACTGTTTTTCTTTTTTTAAATTAATCAATAATGCATGAGGATCAGACAGTTCTCTATCTTAGAAGAGGAATCATTCTAAGGTGCACATAATGCATCTATTTAACTTGCACTGTCCTGTTTTCCCACAGATCACAGCCTGGATATTTCTGGAAGAAGAGTAGCATTATGGGGGTGCTAGAGGGAGATGGTGGTCAAGGCCCACATCATTGCCATCATCCTGTTGCTCCTGTTGTTTCTGCTGCTCTTCCTGTCGGGTACGAATTTGTTCCAACTGTTGTCTCAGTCTGCTGTGAGTATGACGTAAACTTTCCTGAAATTAAAGACAGCCAAGTATTCATAATCCATGTATGATGCCACTACTAACGCCCAGCATGCCTACATAATATTAAATTATAATTAGCAAGCATTACATCTTACACAACTTTTAAATACAATAAAATGCAAATACAGTGGAGCCTCGATTAACGAATTTAATTCGTTCCGGCACCGAGCTCGTCATGTGAAACGCTTGTCTTTCGCATCAAATTTCCCCATTTAAAATAATGGAAATAAAATTAATTTGTTCTACTACCGAAAAACATCAATATGACATTCAATTTTTAAAATAATAGAGCAGCCTACCTGACATACACTGAATGAACCTTTTTGAGATCTGTTCTTTTTTCAAATTTTTTAATTTTTTTCTAAAAAAAAAAAAAAAGTCAATGCTTTGCAAGATTACAGCAGTCACCCCTTTACATCCCAGCTTCAGTAGCATCTTTACAAAAAACAGTCATTTATTTGCATTGTTGGAGGTGTCAGAATTTGCGAAAACCAGTGGGAACGTTAGGAAGCACCACATGGTTTTCTCGTTAACAGAGCGGAAGCTCGTCAATCCAGACAAATTTTCGGTGAGTGGCTCGCTCATTACTCGAAATGCTCGTAGATGGGGACACTTGTCACTCGAGGTTCCACTGTATTTAATCTGTTATACATACACTTTACTCGTGCATAAATCAGAACTTTGAAGAAGAATTTATTCTGTAGAAAAAGTCTGACTTATTGATAAGACTTACCACTACACCAGTGGGTGCAGGAGAAGACAACATTTCACTTTTGTTAACAGAATCAGAGCTTTTCCTTCCAATAGCTCATCTTAAATCTTACTCTACTAATGATCGCTGGAGTACAACCTACCAATTGGTTGTACAATAATTTCCATTACTCATTTCCAGATCCTCCATTACTGCTGGGTGAACAGGAGTGAACAGTTTAGAATCAGCACCCAGTTGACTCCTTATCTTGGGCTTGAACCAGTTTTTCTGGGGAGAGACCCTTGAGGCTCTCCGTTATCACCGATTCAGTGCCATTCTACTAGAGCAATCAGTCGCTAAGTTCTATTGGCCTACCAGCGACCACGAGCCAGAACCTGATCCCCCCTCAAAGAGGCATGGAGAGTGATGGTCTATGAACACTTTATATTTAGGGATATACCCATAACATGCGAAATAATTAGAAAGAACATTGACAAACTTAAAGACTCAAAAGCCCCAGGTGTGGCTGGAATCCAATCCAAAGTCTTAAAGGAACTGGTAGAAGAACGCTGCATGCCACTGACACTACTTTTCACAAAATCTCTGGACCAAGGAAATAGTCCAAAAGTCCCCATTGATTGGAAATATGCAAATGTCACCACTATTTAAAAAAAAAACAGCGTTGAATGTTGAGGGAGGGAGAAAGTAGCAGCCAGTGGCAGGCTGCCACTGGCACTGCCACTCGGCATGCCAACTTAGTGGTTCGTTATGGTGAACACGAATGTAGATACTTATATATAACGTCTGTATATAGTGAATAAAAGCAAAAACAGTATGGTGGGAGGAGAATGTGGGCGAGTGAGGTGTTGAGGGAGGGAGTGAGTGGCTGGCTGGTGTATGGCAGTCGCTCCTCGTTACTTTTTGACTCATAAAAGCTACTTAGTGGTTCGTTATGGTGAACAAAACATGCAGATACTTATATATAACCTGTGTATATAGTGTAATAACTGACAAAGTATTTGTTCACTGTTTGATGAACATAATTGAATCAACAATATGCACACCATATTTTTGAGTACAGTGATGATTCACTCATTTTATTATATAAATATATCACACTACACACTATTGAATAATATTACAGCAAAAAAACTACGAAAAATCAATCAGAGACATTGAAATAATTAGGTAATTATCTCTTTGTGGCAACTCCGGCCTGACAGCTGGCGAGCAACAGACTGCCTGGGACGCACGCAGAATCAGCGCCTGTTTTTTGCCAGACTTCCCCGCCCTATAGTGGAAAATATATGCCACTTACGATTTTTTTTATTATTTTTCCCATGATCAGTGAACACAAATTAACAGGTTTAGAAGAAAAAATAATATTTTTTTTTAGTATGCACCTGTGAGTGACACATGCTAAATAGCAAGGCGCCATACAAGGGGTTAAAAGAGGATACGACCGTGCGGAGCACCTGAGTAGGTGAGCTCATTAAGCCCCCTTGCTCAGGTGAGCACAGGTACGTAGTCCTCAAGGTATGTGGGGGGGGGTGGTTCCCCGGGTGTATGGGGCGTGGCGGTGCGAGGCGGAGCGTGCCGTCCGGCCAGGCGTTACTTGAGAGAGGGTCATGTTGGGGTAGGGGCGGGAGGCTATGTGGTTGTATGCAGTCATGTAGAGAGAGTAAAGGAAGAGGAATGTTGAAGAGGAGAGGAATAGTAGTAGAAGATTACAGTATGTATGAGTATGCGCCTAGAGTTAATCCTGTGTGTAGATAGATAGATGTGAGTATGTAGGTTATGTTGAGGAGGGAGGGTCCCCCTCCCCTCTACCTGGCACGGATATGTTGAGGAGGGAGGGGGCTCCCCACTACCTGAGACGGTAGGAGACCAGGCTCTTAAGATGGGTATGGGATGGGAAAGGGAGGGGAACAGGTGGCAGCAGCTTTGTGTTTGATAGTGGAGACATTATTTTTCTTAAAGAATGTCTATTTTTATGTAAAGAAAAGAACCGTTTAACTTTTTCTCTCACCCAATCCTACACTTTCTTGATACCTGCTCGATGGGGTTCTGGGAGTTCTTCTACTCCCCAAGCCCGGCCCGAGGCTAGGCTCGACTTGTGAGAGTTTGGTCCACCAGGCTGTTGCTTGGAGCGGCCCGCAGGCCCACATACCCACCACAGCCCAGCTGATCCGGAACTTCTCTTAGAAAACGGTCCAGTGTTCTCTTGAAGATGTCTACGGTTGTTCCGGCAATATTTCTTATAGTCGCTGGGAGGACGTTGAACAACCGTGGACCTCTGATGTTTATACAGTGTTCTCTGATTATGCCTATGGCACCTCTGCTCTTCACTGGTTCAATCTTGCATTTTCTTCCATATCGTTCACTCCAGTACGTTGTTATTTTACTGTGTAGATTTGGGACCTGGCCCTCCAGTATTTTCCATGTGTATATTATTTGGTATCTCTCTCGTCTCCTTTCTAGAGAGTACATTTGGAGAGCTTTGAGATGTTGAGATGGTCCCAATAATTTAGGTGTTTTATCTCGTCTATGCATGCCATATATGTTCTCTGTATGCCCTCTATTTCAGCAATCTCTCCTGCTCTGAAGGGGGAAGTGAGTACTGAGCAGTACTCGAGACGGGACAACACAAGTGACTTGAAGAGTGCAACCATTGTGATGGCATCCCTGGATTTGAAAGTTCTGGTAATCCATCCTATCATTTTTCTGGCTGACGCAATATTTGCTTGGTTATGCTCCCTAAACGTTAGATCGTCAAACATCATTATTCCCAAATCCTTGACATGCTGTTTTTCTATTATGGGAAGATTCGATTGTGTTTTGTACCCTGTATTATGTTTCAGATGCTCATTTTTGCCGTACCTGAGTACCTGAAATTTATTACTGTTAAACATCATGTTATTTTCTGCTGCCCAATCGAAAACTTTGTTGACATCTGTTTGTAATTTTTCAATGTCTTCAGCAAAGGTAATTTTCATGCTGATTTTTGTGTCATCTGCGAAGGATAACACGAAGCTATGACGTGTATTTTTGTCTATATCTGATTTGAGAATAAGGAACAGCAGTGGTGCAAGGACTGTACCTTGAGGTACAGAGCTTTTAACATCGCTTGGACTCGATTTTATTTGATTGACTGTTACTCTTTGTGTTCTGTTCGACAGGAATTTAGTATCCAGCATCCTACTTTTCCAGTTATTCCCATTGACCTCCGGGTAGATGGGACTCGATAGCCTGGGAAGGCAGCCCATCTAGGGGAAGGAAAACCCTGAATTTAAACCTCCGCTGCCTTGCGGCCATACCCCTTTTTGGGAAAGGCTTCAGGAGTCAACCTCGAGGAATAATCCGGAGATGGAGCCCCTAAGGCAGTTCGTTGTTGACGTCGACCTCGTTCTGGCAGCTCCTGCGACGTTGCTGGGACCATGTGTATTGGCATTTGCCTTTCTATTGGATAATTTCAGCAACGTGGAGAGGGGGGACTTGCTGCATGGGTAACAGCTTCTCCTCCATATCTACCTACACAGGCTTTGCGCCCTGTCAGGGCGCAACTCCATAGACTGAAGGATGCCTACTATTGGTGTGCTAAACACAGCCTCATACTGGCTTCTTAGAATTTCACTAATCTCTTTGTTGTCCTCTGTGTACGTAGTCCTCCGTGCGGCAAAAGTAGCGGTGTTTTGGAGAAGGTTTTGCCGTGGTTTTGGACATTATATGCATATACACCTGTAGGGAATTTCATTGCGAATACATTGATACCAAAATGAAAGACCTAGGACCACAATAGACGTAACAAAGTTGAAAACAGAATATTGTACCCATTTTATTGCTCTTTATTAGCGCTCACGGGGGTAACGTTCTGTCACTTTCTCTGTTTGCTGTGGGTAGTACGCCGGGCTTTTGGACTTTATATTTGCGATACTCCTGTAGGGAATTCTATTGCGAACACAATGATACCATAATGAAAGACCTAGGACGAGAATTGAGATGTCCAAAGTGTAGAGAGTGTACACATTTTATTGCTCCTGAGCGCTCCCGTGTAGCACGCTCTCATTTTCTCACTTTCTCGCTAGCTTTTGGGCTTTATATGCATTTAGTCCTGTAGAGAATTTCATTGTGAATACATTGATACCAAAATGAAAGACCTAGGACCAGAATTGAGGTAACAAAGTTGAAAACAGAATACCAATTTTATTGCTCTTTATTAGCGCTCACGTGGGTAACGGTTCGTCACTTTTCCTGTTTGCTGTGGGTGATACGCCGGGTTTTTGGATTTTATATTTGC